ATTTCAGGATCAGTGTCTCTAATCTCTGCATCCTGAAATACCTTCTTCTGCCGGCAGTGCATTTGGGAAATTTGAGTGACCACAGGTTTAAGCACAGGGAAGGGGATGCCTTGGCCACAGGGACTGGATAACATGTGCTCCACTGCCAGCATCCATACCTGATCTGGCTGTTCCTGGGAACTCCATCAGTCAGCAGTGTGAGATGAGAGGTCTCTGTGCTGGGGATGCTCTCTCCCACACTGAAACAGTAAGAGAAAAATGTTCCATGACCACTGTCAAGTCTGACTCCCTTGTTTTCTCCAGCCACTCCAGTCTGTCCTCATACAATGGGTCTCTGGTTAGTTAGGAGCACAGTCATGGCTGAGTTTCTGGATGGTGACTGACTGTGTGTCCATCCCTCTGAGCTCTCTGCAGAGCTGGCTGTGACTCTGTGCTCACCAGGTGAGCTCTGCAGGTTGGTGACCCACTGCTGTTCTGCAGCTGGCTCCCTGGCATCTCCTGCTGTGTCTGCTGTTGGAAACCATCTCCTCATGGCACAAGGGATCCAGTTGCTCACCTCCTGCCACCCTGAATGGAGCAGCTGAGCCTGAATGGCAGTTCTGGTCCCCCTCCGTAACATTGCCTTGGTGGGCTCAGCCAGGTCTGCAGGGCAAGGGCAGAGCAAAACTGCAGTCCTCTCCTGGTATTGGAGTGGCTTTTGGGGTAAGGACCCTTCCATGTCCTGCCTAAATTAAAGTTAGCTTTGAGTTCTTTAATTTATTTTAGGTGAGGAGGAGGAGGAGTCCAGCCGAGCTGTTATGATATGCTCTTGGAGCATTCCATGCTTGCATTTTTCAAGTTGCATTTCTTATTTGCCTGGAGTTGCTTGTCTTGGTTCCTTTTTTGGGGTCAGTGGTGGTATCCCGTAGCTGGCTCTCAGTTGTATTGCCAACTCCGAATGTGGAAATGCTGGTGAGGAGAAGGGATTTGTGCCTGGCTGGTGAGGACTTTGCACAGGGCATGTTGGTGACAATGTCCTTTGGAGGGTCAGTTCCCACTGCTGCAGCCACTGCAGTTCCCCCACAGCTTGGGGCCTCTGAGCTACAGGAGCACCAGTGGTTTTGTTTTACAAAGAGGAGTTGGGACTAATAGAAGAGGTTTCAGAGTCTGCTTGCTGGGGCCCTTGGGGATGAACACAACCAGGGCACAGCATCCACCTATTCCTGAACCACCTTAATGTGAGCTCTACAAAGCCTCAGGTCAGGGCTGGTGGTGTCCCACAAAAACACGAATTGCTGTTCTCTGCCTCCTCTTTGCTTCCTTCCAGTGCCCTGCTGCTGTCAGATGTTACTTCTTCACGACCTGGTACTTCTCCCTCTACAAATCCAAATTCTAGGAGGGAAGAAAGGTGCAAGAGCAGGTGGAGAGAAGCCTGTGTTACCCTGCTGGCTGGCTGGGGTGTCTTGGGCAAAATGCTTTCACTGCTCAAACTCTTTTCTCACTTTCTTTTCACCATACCTACTTAATGACTCTCAATATAGTTGATCGAAGTCCGGGGTGTTTTCTCTCTGCACATTTGTTCTGCTGTAGCTGTTCTTTTAGCCTTTGATCTGAGTTGTCAGCCATCTGGGGTGTGACACCTGACTGTGTGCAGCCCAGTCTGACTGTCATGATATATATTTATACTCAGAGCAGCACCAGTGTGTGCTGGCAGGGATTGCAATATTCTCCTTTTCCTTTGTTTTTTACTCCATCAGTACAGAGTCTTGCCGTGGGTGCTCCTCTGAGTTCGTGGTCACACAGCCCAGTGTCACAGCCAGTCCCTGCCCTGATGCCACTGGGATGGGACTGGGCTGCTGTCATTGAGGGATCTTTCTTCCCAGGTGCAAAAAGGTTGTGTCCTCCCAGCTGTTTTATACTCATCAGGTGCAGCAGAAAGGAGTGTGAGGGGATTTCTGTCTTCCAAGCAGAGCCACTGGCATCTTCAGATCTGCTGGTGTTAGGGTGGAGCATTTGAGGTGTGGGCAACACTTCACCTCCTTGCCAGCAGCCCACAGACTCCCACCTAAGACTCTATCCGTCTATTAATTCTCAGGCAGTGAGGCTAAAAACAGCTTTTTCTGACAACCTCCATCTGTGCGCTCCCACTTAAAAGAAAAGATTTAAGTATAATTTGCACAACTGTAATCAATTTGGACGTAGTGGAGAAGCCATTTGCAAATGAGCAAACCTCCTGCACGAGGCCTTGACCAGTACAACCTCCCTGGGGTCCGTGGAGGGAGGGGAAACCTTCCTGTGTGGCAGAGCTCACCAGGGAGCCTTGATGGTGTGCTGGGGATAATGTAAATCCTGGCTGATGCTCTCAGTGTTGTTGGTTAATGCTGTTTTATATGGTTTGGGGGGCTTTTTGTTGTTGGTTTTTTGGGTACAAGTAAAACTCTTTTCTTTTCTTCAGGACAGAATCATCAATCTAATTGTTGGTGGCTTAACAACCTTGCTGCTTGTAGTAAGTATCTCCCATCCATGTTGCAACTTTAAGTCACAGGGAGAAAATCAGAATTCCTCTACCAAAACGGGTGGTGAAACTTCCAGTGATCAAAGAGGCTCTGATTTAGGGCAGGCAGTCATTTTGGGACATAATCTGTCTTTTGAACTTCTTTGACAACAGTAGAAGGGGGAATACCTTTCTTTAAGAGCTGCAATAAAATCCTTTAAGTTCCCTGGTAGATCGTGCATCCTGGCTGAACGTGAGGCTGGGTAAGACAACAAAGTATTTATGTGCCAGTAGAGCGTGTTTGCTTCTATTTCCTTCTATTTATGATTTATTGTCCTCTATTTATGGCTTATATAAGTCTTTCCAAAGTTTGTCCCTCTGTGTTGAGCTGTGCTTTCCCCAAGCTTTAAAGGCGAACTGGAGACCATCAGTTGTGTGGTCCACGGGGGGATTGTTGGAGAGCTGAGGTGCAGGGAGGCTGTGGGGACAGGTGAGGTGCCAGCTGGTGGAACACGAGGCTGAAGGGATGCTCCTGCATGGGCAGTGTGCACCCCGGGGCCTGGTGGCCTCATGGCTACTTGGAGGGTGGTTTCTGGCAATAAGCCAGAGTGGCAAAGCTTTCATTGGTTTTTTTCCACTCCTCTCAGTGTGCAGCTGTCTCAAAGCAGTTTTCCTCCAGACTTGCACATTTTCCTACAGGGCCTCAGGGGTGGGAGTCAGAGGCCAGGGAGGGGCACGCAGATCAGGATGTGAGCGCTGTGCTGCTCCAGCCCTTGGGCTGAGCCTCTTCTCACTGCAGCTCTGGCCAGAGTGAAATCCTCATCTTTGTTTTCCTCCACACAGGTCACTCTAATCAGTGCTTTTGTCTTCCCGCAACTACCTCCAAAACCTGTGAATGTATTTTTTGCTTTCTGCATCTCCTTGTGTTGCATTTCTGCTGGCATTCTTGTAAGTACCGCCATGTTTGCCGTGCTTTTGAGTCGATGGCTCTGAATAAAATCTGCTTTACGTGGTGCTGCCTTCTTTTTTACACTCTCCTAGAAAAGCTTTCCTGCCTCCGTAACACAAACTGACAATGAGGGAGTGGTAATGAGTTTTGTATTTACTGCAGAGGAAGTGTGTGAACTGAGCCAACTCCTGCAGCCCAGCTGTAGTGCAAGACTTGTCACCTCTGTGGCACTGCCACCCACAGCTGCCAGAGGAGACACAGAGTAGGAAACCAGGGAGCAGAGCACTGAAATGGGAATGCAGAGATGGACTGTGCTGCAGAAGACACTTGAAATGGGATCAGCCATGCACTTACATTAGTCAGTGACCTTTCAAACACAGGGGATGAGTTACAGGGATAGGAAGCTACAGCAAGTGGAAGATGTTCCTATACTCAACAACTGCAGAATTCCAAGAGAGTTGGTCCCAAGCACTGACAAAGGGAACGGGCAGGTCTGAGTTCATACAATCACAGAATGGTTTGTGTTGGAAAGGGCTGTCAAGAACCATCTAGTCCAACTCCCCTTCCACGGGCAGGCACATTGGTGCCTCCTTCCTCTGCTGTAGCTCTTCATACTTGGAGCATTCTCCTTCCTTCAGCTGTGGCCTGGAGCAGCCCTGTGCCCCTCACTGCCGGGTATGCTGAGAAATTGCTCTGCAGTGCCTGGTCAGTCCCAGTTTTTGATCCTACAGCTGGTGGCCACAACTCTGCCCAAAACAGACTGTGTTAGTGCAAAGCTGATGTTTGTCCTCATCCACTAGGATGTAGCAAGCTTTGAGAGTTAAAATACCCCCGGCTAAGCCACTCACTTTCCCTCCCTCTCAGCAAAGCTGACCAGACAGCGCATGTCCTCAGGGCCAGTTTCACACAGACACACACACACACTCAGTCTCTCTGGCCAGAGGAAGCTGGATTGTTTTACAGGAAGAAAAAAAAACCCAGAACTAAACCTGCAAGTTGCCAATTCAGTTACCAAAGAAAGTTTCCTCAGAATATTCAGCTTTTTGAAATAACACAAACTCCTTTTCTCTTCTAGATCTACTGGTATCGACAAGGAGACCTGGAACCCAAATTTAGAAATCTAATTTACTACATATTGTTTTCTATTGTCATGTTATGTATATGTGCCAACCTGTACTTCCATGAAGTGGGTAAATGAAGGACATTGGGAATAACCAGCAATGATGCTACTGTGTCAGAATGCTCCCAGCTCAGCTCTACTCGAGACATTTAAGTGACAACCATCAGCCTGAGAGGAAAGAAGTGGGTTGTGCAAGGATAAATCAGTACATGATTTTCATGTAAATGTATATGTAATGTCCCTCTTGTTGGGGAAAATTATTGCCATAAGACGTGACATTCTGCTTTTTTTTGAAGAGCTACTGTTGCGCTTAATGAACATTCCAGTTGTACTGATGTTTCAGAATGGCACAAGCTTTTTCATTTTGGAAAAAACTGCACTTTTATATTACTGTACAAATAAACTGCAGCACTGAAAGGATCTGTGGCAGTATAAATAAATGGCATCTTACAGTCAAGTAAGACAAATACTCTTTATTTTGTTGAAACTGAATATACAATTATTTCTGTTCCCTAGGCAACCATTTAAAACTACAACTTATTTTTCACATTAACAAAACCACAGACTGAAAAAGACCAACTCTTGATTATGAAGAGCTAATTACAGAAATAAATAAAATAATTTATACAAGTCTTTAGTTTCTATAGCTTTTTCTCTTGATTCCTAGCTAACAGGCTGCTGTTCAGCCCAGTGTCTGTTTCAAACAATGCAAGAATTAATTGGCCTCCTTTGCCTCGGGGCCCTATGTCCAGACTCTCACAGAGCTACTCCTCCAAGACTTTGCCACCTTCACACCACTCCCCATTTACTAACTTGCTGCAGAAATCACGTCTGGAAAGGTGGCTGGTAGTGTCAGGTAAACAGTGACAGAGACAAATGTTCCAACCTACTCATAACAATCTCAAAGAAATTCCAAGCTTGCCAGGGGGGAGGCTGGTGGGTCCCAGTAGCTTCCCTTTCTCATAGCCCTTCCCTTTTTATTTAGCTTGCTGTAGTGATAAGAGGAAAAAAAAAAAAAAAACAACAAAAAAACAAGAAAAGATTTTCCACAAGTGATCTTTCAGAGCTGTCCATTGCCAGCAATGGACTCCTTAGGAACAGGCAAGTCCCATAAGCTTCTGCCTACTTCCTATGCCACAGACATACTAACAAGTCAGGTGAGGTGGGAATACACACCACTGCTTCGTGATGCTGCCCATGCTCCCTGAAGTCTTTGATGGAACTCACTCCTTCCTGAAATGTAACAGTCTCTTATTCCATGTATTCAAGAGTCAGTAAGTGCAAAAATCCTCATCCATTCTTCATGAAACCTGTGCAAACTAATACTTGCTGTGGCACTAAGAGGCTACAGTCCACAGTCCTTGACTTCTGTCCAGTTTTCCACGTGTGCAGTTCAGCACATCAGTAACAAGTCAGATCAGAACTGACTGGATGGATCCAAGCACTGTGAGCACTGCAACAGAGGCTCTTCAGAACACTGGAACACCCCAGTGAGAGGTGGCACCTCAGGCCTCGGCTGGTGGCTCAGTCCTCTCTCCCGGATGAAGGAAACAGCCTGAGCTGAGAAAGTGCACTGTAGTCATCCCACACTGGAAGCTTCTGTTCAAATTGACAGACTGTGACTGCTTTCTTTGGAAATGTGGCACAGGGTTGTAACTAATTTCACAATGCAGACATGGTCAATAGAAAATGGACACCATTGCTGGTTCTCAGTGACAGCTCACTAAATCCTCAACATCCTTTGAATCTTCTGAGTCAGGACTACCCAACGATGAGCCAATAATGTGTGACCCATCTCCATGATGTTGTAGGATAGGATCTGTCAAGGGACAAAAAGCATTACAACTATTGCTGTATTTTATATCTTGTTATAATGGCACAAACTCAGGAGACAGGGAACATAACCTGGAATTCTAACCAATTACAGGCCGTGTTGCTCAAACTAGGCAGTTTGCAATTTCTAGTTTCACAGGATCACAGAACAGCTGGGGTTGGAAGGGAGATCCTCTGTTCCAACTCTTTGCTAAAGATGGTTCAGCTAGAGCATGTTGCACAGGACCACATCCAGGTGGGTTTTGAGTATCTTTAGAGAAGGTAAATGATGACCAATATGGATGAATATGGATGCAATGGCGTGACTGGCATTTGCATCCATCAGATGTTACACTATCAGTGCTGACCCTCTGATGGCTCTACAGGGAGATCCTTCCTCTGGGGAGGGGTATTTGTTAGGTTACTTGAAGTTTCATAGCACTGATAGGTAAAATTATTTAAGAGAAAGCAAGGATCTATGAAATGTTGTCTGCAGAGACTCAAAAGCTCTATCCACTGCTTTAATGAAAGAGATTGTCATACCTGTGAGAGTTGTCAAGGGCAAGACTGATTCACTATCTATATCATCCGTTGCCTGGATAAAACCATGGGAAGAAGGAACAATAAGCACAGTCTCATCGTCTATTGCAGGCTGATCAACTTGTTCTTCTATTGTTGGGGAACCCAGGTCCTGCACAACACAGAACAAGCCATGAGAGTGCATTCCTGTAGCATAAACAAAAACCTGCCATACTCCACAGTAAGCAATAAACCAAAATGTCAGCACCTGAGATAGCTTATTTCAGCATTTACGGGGCATGTTTCTTCTTAGTGCAGGCATCCAAAAACAAGATGAGAAGAATTTTAAATTTTACTCTGTTGAGCAGTGGTGGAGAGGAAAGGAGACAGGTGCAAGTGGTGATAAAATTACCTTGCAAGTCAAATATTATGACTGTAAAGAGGAATAATTAGGCTTTTCCACTACTTGCTGTCTAGATGTTCTGAGACTGAAGCATTACCTTTGTAGCACTTACCTGCTCCACAAACCCAACAGCTTTACCTTAAGTTTCACAACTCCTGTTGTCAAGTTTTAACTGACACTGAACACAGAGCTCAAAAGAGCCACTTTATTTGCTGTGCCTTGCTTAGTCTGTCCCTGGCTGGAGGTTGGCTCTAGACTTTTTTTCCTGAACCTCATGATACCAGAAGATTGGCAACACACTGATTCCTTCCAGGTACAAGTTGTCAATACCCTCATTCTCTTCCAGTCCTGCCATTGCTGCTGCTGCCTCTTCCCTGGCTCCTGTGGTACTGGAATGGCAGCAACACATCTGGCTGACTCAGTGTCACAGCACACTCCTGGTTCCACAAATGCAGGGTAAAGTCATCCCACACAGTACTGCCAGAATCAGCAGAGATATCTGGATTCCAGTTTTTGTGTGTAAAGTGTAAAGTTTGTTCAAACTTCAGGAATCCCTGATGTAGAATGCTAGCAACTGCTGCTGACACAATGGAAAGTACCTGGATTTCTCACTGTTTTCAGAGGGAGCAGGAATTCTTGAGGAGAGGTTACAGCCCTCCATGTTTAAGAAAATCCTGATGCTCCTCTACCTTGTTTTTTTTTGTAGAAAAGCTTTTTCCCTACATAACTCCACAGTGTTTTTGCAAAGGCAGCTGCCTGAAAACCCCTTCCCTGGTGCTGCTGAAGAGGAGCTGACAACCTGTGTTGTAGCTCAGGGAACTGCACCAGCTCCCATCCACAGGGTGTGCCTGACCTGCAGGAGCAGCTCTCAGCAGAGCACAGCTCTGCCCACCAGCAGCACTGGACTGCAAGGCCTGAAACTGGCAGGAGAAGGCGTGAAAAACTAAAGAAGCCATTGTGGCAAATGGGCACCTTTCCCAGCCAGAAATAATAAAACCCTGCAGCATGACTGCCTGCCTCCCACTACCCACCCACAGTGACAATACAACCCTGGCAAGCTCATAAAAATAACACTGACTTAAAGAAAACAAAATTTAGGCATGTTTTTCTAGAGTAACTTTTCTCTGAGAATTACTCACAGACAGTTCACTATTTCCTAGAATTTAAGTACACATGTCAAACTTGAATCTGACTTGAAGGGAAAGGCAAATTAGAATTACAAATTCAGTTTGCTTTTCTGTATAGAAGAAAAAGTTTAGTTTTATATTCTGCTAGCCATGGGCAATATGTACAAAGTTAAATTACGAACTAGGTTAATATCAAAAGTTTATTAATTCTACCTCGAGAAGCTGAACTTTTAAAATAAGAATAGAAAGCTGATGGTCTGCCTCAAATGTTGAAAATCTTACCACAACTGTCAACCATGACACAGAAAGAGGAAAATGGAAGAATAATCCCTAGCTTTGGATGTACTCAGGATTCAGATACTTCTGTAGTAGCAAACTTGAGATGTACAGAGATTCTTCATTTTGTAATAGAATAACAGATATGCATTCTCTATTAGAAACTTCTTCAAAGACCAAGCCAAAGCACATTAATGATGGATTTTGAAGGCTGACAAAGCAGAAATGCAGCTACTGTGGAGAACAGTGTTCTAAAAAACAGGAACCGCTATTTCACTCTAACTCATGTTTTCCCAAATTCCAACCTAATCAAACCTGTAAAGGAAGAGGAATTTTCCACCCACTAAAGAGTGTTATCATCTTTTTAGCACCTCTGTTTTCTGTGACTTAGTCATTTTCATAATTCCAGCAACTGAAAGATGGAGGATTGTTAGCATAAACAACCCAAATACCTGTAATCATTTGGATAAACTAATTTCTGCATTTTAGGTGTTGGAGGTGAATAAATCTGAGGCCAGAGAGAAACAGATTAATGCTTCAAATTCCCATTTAACAGATACTTGACTGGAGCAGTATGTTTAACCAAAACCCTCAAGACTGGACACTGAGGTGCATCTTGAAGTATGTTATTAGACTCCTAAAGCAAAACCTAAATACTCTAGCTCAGCTCCCTTATTCAATCTGTCTATTGATGTAGGTGTGTTGGACAATTAACAGCCCAGTTTAAAGCAACAACATCAAACAGGAATCACCTGAAGGCAACTGTTCAGTGCCACCAATATTCCAGCTTTTCACTGTCACCATGCAGAAGTACCCTGAGTAGTGAAGCAACTCCACAGTTAGTGGGGTGTTCAGTGCTCCAGATAAAGTCAAATATAAGCCTCAGTATCAAATTAAATGCTGTTACTTTCATAGTCATAACACACCAACAAAGCTCAAGGATAGGGGATCTCAGCAAATACTCGTAGAACTGTGATACAGAATCACAGAATTGTTTGGATGGGAAGGGACTCCTTGAAGATTGAAACTTGAAGACTGCTCAAAGCCCGACCCAATCTGGCCTTGAATGTTTCCAGAGATGAGGGAGGCGACAGCTCCTCTAGGCAACCTGCTCCAGTGCCTCACTACTCTCACAGGAAAGAACTTTCTCCTAATACATCATCTAAACATTCTTTCAGTCTGAAGCCATTCCCCTTGTCCTGTCACTGTATGCTCTTATGAATAGTCTCTCTCCATCTTTCTTCCTTCAGCTACGAATATAAATGAAATCACTGAGATATTTCAGATGAACAGCTTAACATAAAGGCCACAGATTGAATGAAATAAATCTCCATGCAGAAATGGGAAAAAATATCAAGTATCATTCCCTCCCTTACCTCAGTAACGTAAGTGCTGGGTAAATCAGATTGAGAATCCTCATTCTGTTTCAGGCCAGCATCAGCAATCTCCTCCTCTGTTCTTACCATAACTCCATCCATCAGTTCTCTACTATCCCTGCTGCTAAATTTGGAAGCATCATCTTCATTGTAGGCTGACTGCTCTTCATCACTCAGCTTGGACTGATGGATATCATGTGGGAAAGTATTTGCTCCGAGGGTGTCTGGAGGATCTGTCAGGTCAGCTGACTGAATGTCTGAATCCACAGTCAGTTCTGTCTGGGTGACAGAGGAGGAGATGTCTTCAGCAGCAACGGTGCGGATTATGACACTCGGCGTGTGGCACTGCACTGTGACGTTGTCACTTGTGTTTAACAAATGCTCTGGCTGTGAGCAGCATTTGCAAAAAAGAGACAAAACCCCAAAAAAGGTCAGAGACTTTGCTGCAATTACCTACAAATCTTTCAAGCAAATACAAGCAAAAAGATTCCAATTGCTAAGTGTAGGTTAGAGTTTTATATATCCAGTATGTCAGCCCAGATCAGCGATTGACCTTTCCTGTTCCTAAAGGATAACTCTGTAAACTGAATGGGGTGTCATGTGCTTTTTAAGTCACAAATAAAGTAAATACATAATAATATGAAAGAGGCAACCATTCAGATGAGAATCACTATAGATTCAAAAGTCCAGTGCTTTTTCCACTGAATTTTTCATCACTTTCGTGATTCAGTCTCCAGTTTGCTTCCCCTTCCATCCCTCTAACAAAAAGTAATACCTGTCACTACTAGGATTTCTCCATTTAGTGGCTTCCTCCCCAGCAAAGCCAAATGTGCTGTGGATCAGTATCTATTTGTGAGAGTAGCTGAAAACATCACAAAACAACATTTGGCTTTGCTGGGGAGCAAGCCACTAAACGGAGATATCCTGTGCAGAACTTGCTCACTAAGCTAAGTTCTGAAGCAACCTGAGGTTGCTTTTTAAAAACAATATACAAACCCCCAAACTCTTAGTCCTCAGGATTTTAAGCAAAGTAACATTGTTATGACTTAAGAACAGCTTTGCAAGTTTAACGTGCATGTGCAGGGCCCTGCATTACAATGTTCCCCTTCCCCGTGTCCAAAGCGCAGAGCTCTCACAGATAAGGCGTGAACGATGATCTGCTCCGGGGAGGCTGGAGCGGCCGCGGCCGTCAGGGTCATGGTGGGACTCGTTGTCAGCGTTAAAGGGAGGCCTTGGCTCGAGCTTGTCTGCAGTAAGTAGGTACCTGGGGTCCCAGTCGGCTGGAGGTGGAAAGACTGTAAAAACAACACAGGTTTAATACCCAAACGCACTGCCCAGTTCTTACTAGAGTATTTTGATTTACATGAACCACTCTAATTGTAACTCCCCTGGAAAATCACCACATCAACCCAATCCCTTCTGCACTGACTGCTGCACTGCACTCAAAAAGCAGAAAAAAACCCTCATCTGTAGCCTTAGGCTACCAAGGCAAGTATAAAGGGCAGGAGCCCAGCAGGTCTGTATTATGCTGTACAACAGCAGGTAAAAAAGGAACAAATTCAACTTACTTTTGCATTGAGATGGAAGAGCAACTGTGCTACAAATTACAGGACAATGGAACTGAGACAATCTTTACTTGCTGGGAGCTTTTTCTGTCTCATGTCAGATTTCAACAATGAAAAAATTCAAGCACAAAGGAAAACTTCATAGCACTAAAACAAATTTAAAGCATTTAACTATAATTCACAGTTTACTCAGCAGCCCTTACTTTCAGAAGTAAGTTTTAGAACTCTTCTTTCTATTTGAAAACCTCCCCTTTTTTTTTTTTTTTTTTGAAATGCACAGTTTTATAGTCGAAGAAGTAGCTGGGCTGCAAAGAGAAAAAACACAGTAACAAACACCAGTTACTTACTGGAAGAATCTCAAAAGTCTGTAGTGTTCCACTGTTCAGTGTTATTGTCTCAGAGTCAACAGTAGCAGCAGGGGAATCGGTGGAGGCTGCAAAAGGAAGGGGAAAAAAAAAAAGGAAAAGTATGTAAACAGAATGTTCAGCCCTGCAGAGAGCATAACATACTATAATTAATACATGGCAGGGTACTGTTAATTCCCCTAAGAGGAAAAAGAAAACTGGCTGCAATCCTAATGACAAGGTTCTCTAATTGGTACCCAAAATGCAATACTATTTAAAGAGAGCATTCTACAATCCAAAAGAGCAAAAGAAAGAAAGTATGGGTTTAGCACATAGAGATAAAAGCAGACAAAGTTTCTGATATGGTCTAATTACTTTTTTTAATGAGATTTGCAAGAGGTTCTAATGCAACGATACCCTTTGGTGTAATGATATCCTCTGGATCATTTACTGCTTGTTTTAAACCGGTGTCAGGCTTAATATTGTTGTATTTCCCACAGACCTCTTTTTCTTTTTTTTTGTATTTTTAATCTTTTCTTCCCTCCACACTATGTCCATCCCTGATGAAACATCAGATGCTTCCCAAGATATTTGCCTATCCTGTATGTTATGACTGCAGTTTATAAAAGCTGTAAGTACTCTTACTACAACTATGTAATTATTTATGCAATTAGCTCCACTAATTCTAAAAGCAGTGAAGAGAAGCATTGAAAACCGTTGATGTACCAGGTATTTTAAGATCCTCAGGTCCAAACAACTTGTACTCAAAACTTCATAACCATAATTATCATTTCTACTTACTCTTAAAAAAAAATCACAAGTTCCAGGAAGGTGAAACTGCCTGGAGCTTTCCAGTAATTTCCTAAATACCAGAACGGGAAAAGATCTACAAGATGATAACAGTGACCCAAGTACTGGAAACTTTGCCATCTCAGACTCTGTGGCTGCAAAATACAGTAATTTTGGTCTCTTAAGAAGATAAAAGCTCAATTTTTGAAGCTTTTATTGTTGCAGGGTACGTTCAAGGTTTCCTGCTGCAGATTTCCTGGTACTCAGCAGCAGAGAGCTGTAAAGTGTGGCCTTTCAGTCACCCAGCCAGTACTTTCATTAAACCTCAGGACTTGCCCCTTTGAAACCCTGAGCCTTCCACCAAATGCAGCTGAAAGTGGCTAATAGGTTCAGCTCTATTGGGACTATGAAACACACAATACAAAATTCACTGTGTCTACACAGCCAGAAATTCTTCAGAAAAGCAGACTAAAATGGGGAAAAGGCTTGTTAGGCAGACATGGGCAAGTGAAGTCACAAAATAACCATTACAGGATTCAATTCAGAAAGGATTAAAGATTCCAGGATCTCAGCCCATCTTGCCTGCTCATCAAAACCCATCAGCTTCACTCAAGCTTCATTCAGTCTGAGAATACTGACATACTATGATAGACCAAAAATTCTTGGCTTGGTGTCATCTGTCATTCTAATTCGAAAATAAACCACATAAAATGAAAATAGCACTTAATAAATAGATTAAGATAGATTGACCTAGCAAAATTATAATCAGAAAATTGTTTGCCAAAAGCGTATTCAGGGATAGTGTGAAGAATCAGTTTGTAGACTGATCAGAGCAGGGTGCTAATAATGCCAACCCCTGTGCAGGCCATTCATTTTAGAGCTGGGACTCGATGACCCATGTGGATCTCTTCCAACTCAGAATATTCTATAACTAATTTGTTAATCAGCAAGACCAAACCACTAAATTTTGCTAATAAACTTTACAATGACCAATGGTGCAAAACAAAGTACAGTGCAGATGACAGACTGCGTGTGACTGGAGTTACTTTATAACATAAAGTTACTTTATAACACAGAGTAGACCTGGTAATCAATGATAATTGATGTTAATGAGCAAAGTTCATCCTTAAGAGCATGGGAAGCATCGATTAAAAAAAAAATACAGTAGTTTAGCAGAACACTGGCTGAATGTTGGTGTGCTTTGAAGCTAACACTTTCCAAGTGTTTGCGCCTAGAAATAACTGCATAATAAAGGACTAGAATAAAACACTTATACCTTCTCTTCAGTGCCCTGCATCAGAACTTAGGGACTTAGCAGTCTATGTAATTTACAAAAGGAGAACTTGTACATAACGTTCACTGTTCTGCACAAGAGTGACCAGAAACAACTTAAGGAATAAACATACATTATCTTCATTAAGAGGTTTGTGCACTGAAGGCTTTTTAAAGAACATGCTATGTGGCAAACTCCTGTGCGCACACACACGGACAGACATCTACAACACCTGTGTCCAGGTGCTCCAATTGTAGCTTCTTGGAACTACTGTTACAGCAACATCTATGTCTGCCTAACTAAGTAAGAAACAGGAACACAGGAATGTTTCATCTGAAGTTATGGCATGACTAAGGGAGAATTGATACAACTCATTAAAACATGCTCACTCATCCTTCCCCACCTTAGCACAAGCAGGCTTCATGTTTTGTGTGCGTGGTTTGTTTCAGTACTTACAGACGTGGGTGATCTGCACTGGGATCTGCAAAGCTGCCACGGGGCTCGGGGCACTGCCTGTGCTCTCCTCCAAGCGAGCCACCCGGATCTGCACGTGCTGCACCCCCGAGCTGGAGTTCGTGTTTGCTAAGCCACTGCCACATTTGTTCTCTGGAAGCTGGTGCCCTGGATTGTTTTTTTGGTTCTCGTGGAGCTGTTTAAGACCCTTTATCAGCACTGAGAGAAAAAACACTCATGCTAAAGCAGGCTGAAGAAGCACATTTGAAATGCTGCAATTGGTGATTTACCCAAGATGAAAAGAAAAACAAAATCCTACAGAAACCGGAACTTAAGCAATCTCCAGAGATGCATAAACGAGAAATTTAGCACATACATAGACCACTTATAGCTAACTACAGAAGTGAACTAGATTTCCCCATGGAAGCCAGGCATTTCATGATGCTTGAGGGAAAAAAAGAACACACATCCCGTAAAATATTGGAACTCTCTAAAATTATGCATGGTATATCCCTAAGCTACAAACAAGTGCCACTATCACTAGCTGTGTAATGCTGCTACCAGAAGTAAATCCTCCAATCTTCCACAATAGGGAAGCAAATTTGTTCAAGAGCTTGACAGAAATGTCATTGAAAACAGGGAGCAAGAGAGAATGAATCCCAAGTGGTTATATTACAATTCTTCACCTGTGCATGTGGAGGCCCATTCTCCAACAGAACCACCTGTGACTGCTTTGGCCCTTCAGGGGGAGGAGCTGACATAACAGCAGGTTACAAAACCTGAGGCATCAGCTTTTCTAGCATTCATCACAGCAAACTGCCTAAACATCTCCCCTTTGTCAGGGAAAAGTGAGCAGAGGCTGTTGATTCAGTGTTGCATTTATCTTATTATTTGATGCAACAACTGCCTATTAATGTGTGGTAACAAGGGCTCTCCTCCCAGCTGCAGCCTTGAGGCAGGACTAATATATAACCACACTGTCAACCACAGCACAAGTGTGCATTAAATTACATCTTTCATTAATTATGACATGACTAATCTCTCTGATTTTTTTCCTCTCCCCAAGTCAGACAAAGGGAGGTCTGAAGGTCACAGACACCCCTTTGGCTTAGGCACTAGTTTCTCCAAGCCAGAATGGGAAAATGGTATGAAATGTATTTGAGGGAGCTTTATACTCCTGATGCCTCCCCTCCTCCTCACTGCAGCTAGCTTAGTAGATCTACCTTCTGCCTACAGCTAAGACTCAGCACCTGACAGAGATTATATTTTAACATCATAAAGGCAACACATCTAACCTGAGGCCACAGTTAGGCTGCAGATACATATCCTCTTCTACCTGAAGAGGTCACTGCCCTCCATACCAAAGATCAGCATCATCTGAGATGTGCCAGCTGAGCTGCTTATATACATGCTCTCACTTTAGCCAAAGGAAGAAGGGATGGTAAGCTCTGTCTAGGTGTACACATCAGCTTGGCCTGTTTGACTGAAACACTTAAGGACTGCTTGTAGGAGCAATTCAGCCAGAAGATCCAAGGGGCCAGTAACTTCCAGCAAAAGAGCAATATGCTCTTTGGCCAGCAATGCTGTAAGCAGACAACAAAATGCAGCCTTACTCCTTTGAAATATGTGAAAGGAGCTTTCAGAAGAGAAGTGTGCAGGTAGTACATTACCAGGGAATGAAACATCTTTGTGGTTTGCAATCTGTCTTTTAATGGTCCACCATTTACTCCGAAGCCACTGTGGGGAGCGGACACTGCTCCATCCTTCAGCCAGTAAATCCCAATTGATGTCATTTTCATCAGAAACTTCAAGTTCCGCTATCCTGGCAGGATACAGAAAATATTGACCTGTTAGAAATCGCCCTCCAGAGCGGCAGGGGTGTCGCACATGTCCGGCCGTGTCACACGTAACAGCGCAGAACGACATGCTAGTGACCAGCCCACCAGAGCTCAGGGATCGACACAGGCTTCCAAGGCTCCACGCTGCCAGAGGTCAAGCAGAATCATAAACAACAGAAGATGGACTAGACCTGTCACATGATCCAGTCCATCTCCTTGCCATGCAGGATTATTCTCCTTATTTACTTATACATTAGGTCTTAGATCGGATTATTGTGAAGCATTCCAAGTGGTGGTACTTGCATCTTTTCTTTTTGAAAAAAAAAAAACATTCTCCAAACACATCTCCAAGGCAGGAAATACTTCCTGAGATTTCACTCTGAACATTCACTTAATTAATTTCATGTTATGATATTTACTTGTTTTCTTCTAAGTAACAACCATCCATCCTTAACACGGATTTTTGCCTTCTCTCAGATGCTTCTTAGCCAAAGTAGATGAAGTTAACTACAGCATTAAACACTTTCTCATAAATCAATCCCACTATGCTCTCCAGATAAGGGACAATCTTCTCTAACAGAATGTGTTTGAAATCACTAAAAATCTCTGAATTGCCCTTATCTGTACATGAAGCATATGAAAGAGAGGTGAATAGTGAGGGGAACATATTTTGGTGGAAGTTAAGAAAAGTCCTCTTCACAAACAAAGCAAGAGCACTCTTGCTAGCTAAAGAAAGAAAAAAGTAAAACCAAAAAAAAACTACCAAAACCAACCCTGTAGGATGAGTAAAAGATGTCTGGACAGACCAAACCACAATTACTAAGAAATATACCCAGCACATTCTGAAATGTGGAATCAGGATCCTCATTTTGAGTTAATGTCAAATGGCTTCAGTAAATTTGTTAATACTGCTTTGTAAGTAATCCTTAGATTCCCTCAATGTCTTGGCTTTTTATTCCCACCCAACCATAAAAATCCAGTGGCTAAAAAGCCTGAGTTAAAGGCAGGTAAAATGGGAGGAGGACTGGAGAGAGCAAAAGATTTCCAAAGTCACTACCAGGTTGCCAGTTCAAATGTGGTCAGAGATGCTGATATCCAATCAGGGTTTATTGGCCTACATGAAATTAATTTGCAGTCTCAGTTTAGCTCTTTGTAGACAAGATGTCCACATCACAGAAACCACCACCACACTTGACCCTTGTTGGTCATCTCAGCAGAGAGGCCAAGGACTGAACGGGCAGGGAGACTGAGCTACCCTCCAGTTAAGGGTTAAAGCGCATCGGTGGGGCAACGTGTGGGAAGCTTGCATGGTTTGCTGCCTGTGCTGTACCTTTTCTGTGGAATAAAGAAGACTTCAGTCTCCAGGGTTTTCAATCTGACACCTTTCACGAACACTAACATTCACTAAAAAAACAAAAAACAAAAAATATGTTCAATAATAAATCTCTGGGAACTGTAAACACAGCAGTGATTTTTGGAAGGTTCTAGAATTTTCAGTGTCTAGGAAACCAGCAAAATGGACCCCAATGGAATCCTGCTAGCAACACATGTTACAAACCTTGAAAAGTAACTAAAATAACAAACCTCAAGATCAGATTTATTTCATCCTCCTTGGTCCACTCGGTGCCCCCACTCTGTTTCCAGTTGAGATAGTTGAGCCATTTAGAGCGGCACTGCTTCTCTGAGCGTGTCCCGACCCGTTCTGCCACAGCAGCCCACGACACACCCTGTGTGACAATGTCACCTGGCTCTGTGCTTGTCAGCTCGTGCACTACTTCTGCCAGTCTTTTTTCTTCTTTCTCTGTCCACTTCCCTGAAAGAGAGATAAGACCAATAACTTAACTAGCAGCACATACCCTCTGTTCTGATCCATAACATGCCAGCAGACGTTTCATTCCCATGTCCAACACCTTATTCCAGATGCAAATATTAATTTGTGAAGAAGACACAATTGCTCTTAATTACTAGCAATTTATATTGTATCCATTCTTGATTAACAAATCAACAATTCCATTGTTCTGCTGCCAAATTTATTTTCTCTTTCTCTCACAGAGGAGTAAGACCACACAGAACTTGTCCAAATAGTGACCAAAGCAAATTGATCCATGGTATCTGAACTGTATTAGCTGGAGTGAATTAACCATGCAACAATTTAGTGGACATTATTCACATAAGGTCTGACTGAATTTTCCTTTATATTTGAATATATACATTACAAAATAAACAGTACTTAACTCCTGAAGTGCATCGGTCTCTCTCTTGACACCAAACACACAGTGTAAATTTACAATCATGAAACACAAGGGACAGAATTTTTACCAGAGTATTCATTTCTGACACCAGCATTTAGCTCACCTGTGTTGCAGGTATCCTTCATCAGTCTACATCGATCCTTTACAGATGAAGCACTCCTCCCCAGGGCAGCTCCTATTGTGGCCCAATCATTACCGTGCTTTACTCTCAGCCTAAAGAGAAATGTGCTCATTAGCACCATATCCAGTTAGGAAATTACCAAAGTATCAAACATTCTCTAATAAAATCAGGATGAATGTGCAGTTTATAGGCTTAAAGAGAGAATGAGGAAATCACTTTGCTACTTCACTATCAGTATTTTCTGTTACCTTTTCCTATGTGTTTCTAGAAGCCTTTTGGACCAGCTAAGCCACAAGATATTTATAAAATGCATATTATCTGTCTTGCAGGAAGATTGTGAGGCTTAATGAGTGTGTTAAACACAATATGAATGTTTAGATAAACAGCTGATTTCCATTCTATACAGGTTCCTCAATGATTTTCAGGTGGTGTAGAGAGCACTTGAGAAATTTAAATAATGCCCGATAAAAACCCAGGCATCCTACAATTTAAATTAAGCAAAACACTGCATAATCACGTTCATAATTTTAGCAATCATCTTCCTCCACATGACAGCAGGTTGCTTATAATGCTGATCCATGATTAGTTCTGACACATCTGGAACCACAGGCACCTTGTGAACGACACAAACTAGATCAATTGATCCAAACAGATCCATCAATGTGATGCAATATATTCCCTCCCTTCCTTCAGTCCAACAGTTTCTTCCAACTGCCCAGCCCTAGACATGTACAGGAGGGGATAAAGTCTGCAGCCCCATCTCCTTGATCTATCAGCTTCATACTCAAAATTCAGCTTTCTGAGCTGCATTGATAATTTATGTATCTGTAACACTTCCTAGGGGAGACCCTACTCTTGATCTGCCACTTCCTTTAGGAATAACCTTTGCTCAGATTTTGTAAAGAAAAGGGACTTCTGTTTCTCATAACCACAATATTGACTGTGCTTGCAAAAATCTGAAACCTTTCTAGTTATAACAGAAGCCTTGTTTTAGAACTTTGTTGCATATTGTTAGGTCTTGAACACACGCTAGAAAAAAATTTACAATAATCCAAATGTATTTTCATTCTTCTTTAGACAGTAACCACTTATTTTGGCTAGTGTTGGAGCACTCAAATATATTTGAAACTCTTCAGAGATTTAATATAAGGAAATCTTTAAAAATTGATCAAGCTACTAAATATAAACAAGGAAGAGTGACTTTGTTCATGAGATAACTTACTCTTTAAGCTTTTCAATTTCCTCAGGAGTATACCTAAGCAACAGGTAAATAAAAAGACATTATTTTAAACAGAAAGCATACAGAATAAATATTTTTATCTTACTAACCACACAGCACACACTTAGTTACAAGAGATTACGGAATTTCAGCTATAAGAAACAATCTGACTGAATACTTTGGAAGAATGTGAGGAATAAATGTAATTTTCTACATCAGTGCATTTCTAAGGTTAACTGGTATAAGATTCCTCTCATTTGTCAGAAAAATTCCTCATTCTCCATGATCTTACTCCTATGAACAGAATTAGAATTTTCTGCATTAGTCTTTCAAATAAACAGCTTCTTCCTTACTGTCCCAGTTCACCATCACCATAAAGCTGACTTTCCATCAAAAAAGTATATCAGCACTGAGAAGATATTTTTTTATTTTCAACTATCTTCAAAAACTAAAATATAATATCCTTTCTGGATGGCACCAGATCACTGCTTTAAAAAATGGCAAGCAAGGGCATAAGGGGTGAAGATCAATTACTTTCAGGTCACAGCTCCAGAAAAAGTTACATCTCAGCAGATCCATGCTTGTGTCCAAGTCTTCTCATCATATCAGAATCTGTTATTTACCTTTGTTTTGGGTTTTTTGTTTGTCTGGTTTTTAAAGCTGTCATTGAATACCATCAATTGAACACAACTATTGTCAAGGATGATCTCTCAGAACTGAGCAGAGGTGACATATTAGTAAGATCTAGTTCTGTTTGGCTAAAATTTTCTGTCTCACATAGAACATGTCAAGAATACATATATGACCCTACTCATACCAATAAAACCATGCAGCATTAGAGGGTTTCATACTTTCCAACATGGTTTCTGTCATCATACATGCGAAGAACTCTTCTATAGACAGCAAAGAGAGGCCGATTCAGACCCCAAGCTATTGTCCTGTAGAAATCTTTTCTTTCATCTTTTGACATTTCAAATATAATTTCAGTGGCATCTTTTATTCCACGGGCCTAGAACAAAGCATTTAGAAAAAAACAAAAACAAAAACCACAAACAAAACACCTTAGATAAAGTCTCCTAGGAATGAAGAAGTAGAACACAAGAACTGAAGCCATTATGCAACTTTCTGTGTATCACAAATACTACAGTCCAAAAGTAAAACTGAGTATTTATGGATTACCTTCCTCAAATAAAAACTCTTGAACACTAGGTTTTGCTGTTTTGTTTTTTTACGTTGGAGTCCAGGGAGACACAGAAATTCTACCACCTATCCACATAAAATAAAAAAAAAACCTGTCCAATGTATATTTTAACATCAAAAATTGAACCATCATATAGAACATTATGGAATATGTACTGTGGTGGAATTAGTCTGGGGCCCTACAAGGGAAGGTTGTCAAACAGTGTTATATTGATTTATTACATGATTTTAGATATTCCTTATGCAAAACCAATTTCTTTCAATTAAACTACTCTTCTTGTTCTGATGGAAACTCAAATAAATTCAATACAAAAACATGAAATATAACAGTCAAGCTTAACTTCAGCTTAAATTAAGAATCACTGTATTTCAACTATTCAAAGCAGTACAAGAAAGCAGATAAATGGGAAAAGAATGAATGAACTGATTTATCAGTAACTGAGAAAAGTTATTTAGCTAGCTCAAAAAAGCTTCACTAGATTTAAAACGTAGTATTGCCCATGAATGATTTTGTGGCAGAAGCTCTAATATGTGTGTGGGAAAACACTCTTTTCAACCAATGCTGTGGATTTTTATCCCAATGAACACTAAATTCAGAGCTTTTTTTTTAAACCACAAGTGAAGGATAGTGAAACTGTTAATATCCAGGCTATATATTCTCAGTTGTAAGGGCTCAGATCAAATATTCTGAGCTGCAAGCCTACCACAAATATGACTTACGGGCAATTATCACCGTCAGTGTGTTCACCACATGACCATTTATACTGAACTCTGACCCCAATAATTTAAGGGGAAGAAAGTAGACACAAGCATCCTGCTAGTATAGTACACAATCACAGACTTGGCACCAAGAACATCTGAAGTTGTATTCAGTGCTCAGGAAGGAAAATTATCTCTACTGCTAGTGCAATTTTTTTCCACCATCTTCAACAAAGGATTTGTGACTTCTCAATGTATAGTCAGAGAAAGATATTTAACCATATAAAATGTCATGTCAGGATGCCCAAAATGGGCTTACCCAGTACAAGAATTAAAAGCAATGTTACATCCAGTAGTACTTAAATCCTGTCTATGAATAAAATTTCAAATTTCAAATGGGTAATGACCATTCCTACAACAAACCAATTCGAATCACTTATTGCGTGCTCTGGGAAGTACTAAAGAAAGTTGATTTCTTGAAGGAACTGCATCACCACATCAATGAGCAGGGAACATACTCTAAACATACCTTTAAATAACGCTCAATGTTACTCATCAAAATGTCAATTTCTTCCTTTGACCACATCCCTTGCTTCCATTTATGGCCTGAAAATAGAAATGACAACTAATTACTGACGTGAAGCCCAGAAAAAACAGCAAGAACAGAAGTATATGAAAACATTACCCATACTGCAATTAACAAGGAAAAGAAATAAAATATAACTAGCATTAATTTTAAACAGGTATTATTTAATAACTGACAGTAACCGTCAACTAATATTTGAATAATGTGAGTCAGACTCCTCTTCAAAAACACCCCATTTTTTAAAACAGAACATGAACTCCTCTATGTGCTGTCAAGTCACATTTTCAGGCTTTCTCTTCAGCTGCAACTAGAAAATTTCTGTCTTTAAACTGACAGCTGAAATTTCTATGCACTCAAAATGATTCCAGAAGCTGGAACTTAAAATATGACTCAGAAGATTACCTGAGGAATTGGCAACAAGGTGGGGTTCTCTTGCATGCCTTAACACTCCTGAACGTGAGAGTAGTGCCACCTACTGTGAGTGCTTTTCACAGAGGTAAGTGCTCCATTAAGCCTTTTTTTGACAAGCTGGCCCCCATCTCTCTCCTTTTTGCATTTGGAGTAATGCTCAGGGGTCACAGTCAACATAAAACCTTGTGGTGGGTCTTTTACTTCTCCAAATAAAAGTGGCAAACCAATAGAAACAAATAACGTTTCCTCTCTGTATACGCCTTTAGGAACTACAATGCCAGCTAAGCTTTAAAAGCAAACCCAACCAACTTTATTCAGAGAGAAAATTTCAAAACTGAAGTCTATCAATAAATCATTAAAATATTCCTACTTTAAATTATCCTTTTTTCCCCTTATGGTCATACCATACTTTTAATTAAGCTTATGCTGGTGTGACCCAGTTTACATACTGGTGTGTGCTGGCTACCTGCCCACCTCTGCTCAGAAAAATCAGGGTACTTCCTTCTCAGCCTGCTAATTACCAGAGCTCAGAGACAGAACACACCAAAGAGACTGTTCACTCAAATCCAATTATAATGAAAAGTACAGGCATTATTACTAATTCCATTGGAAGTGGTGAGAGAGTACTCTTTCCCTGTGCTCCATAGCTTCAATCTCTCCTTCCACAGTTACAGAAAAATAATGTACTCCTGTAACTGTGATTCACACAGGTCCAAGCCTCTGAACTGTCTTAATGGGACGCTGCTACTCTTGATATGGAACAACCTCTAACACCAAACTATTTTAGGAAAGGACATATATTCTGCACTTCACATGTTTGTATATTCATAGTCAGGATTATAATAACCTGCCCATAGGTCTGGGAAGAAAGCATTATCAAGTGGAGACTGCTATAAAATTATGAGCTCAGGCAACACATGCCAAACTCTAAGCTAATGCAAAAGACATACCCTGGCATTCCTCCACTGCTGATCTCTCTCTGACAAACCATAGAGCTTAAAAGAAAAGTTCAGCCAGTAGAGATTCTCAGGTATTTTTCCTAGCATATTTTACTAGAAATATCCTCCTCAAGTTATTAATCTCTTAACTGGAATCATCAGATTGAGTGCCTTCCTTTGACCACCTGACAATGCTTTGTCTCTTCCTAAAGGTTTCTAACAAAAAAGGGAGTTGCTCTGAACTGACTGAAAAAAAAAATGTTTTTCCTCTTGAAAAAGTGAAAGTCAAAGTAGGACAAACAGTAGAGGGGCTGAGGAAACTAGAGAGAAAACACGTCTTCGTTTGACACTAAGTTTTTTCTCTAGGTTTAGAAAGGCACTTCCCCCGTGGAAGGGAAACAAAAAATGAAAGTTCTTGAGTTCAGCAACTACTACATTATTGCACAGATATATTTGGAAAGGGAGGAATGCCCAGTGGGGTGGAAGTTTTAGGAGTAGTTGAGATTATTTCATTACATCCTGGTCTGCAGGCGCCCTCTTCGTCTGAAGCAATTCCATTAACCTGAGCACGGATTGTTGTTTTTCTTGGTGTACCCCACTTCCCACCCCGACAGACAAACACAACTCTATGTCCCACCTGGGCTGACACACAGCACCCACAGCTCTTCTCTACTGTGCCCACTACTGTCACCTCTGCAGGCATGGCCCATCTCCAAAAAGCTGGACCAGAGATTACTTCATGCAACTTGCAAAATGTTCTGAGATATTGGAATAGTTTACCTTTCTATATGGGAGAACTGCACTTGAAGTAACCTACCTTTATTGGTTAGAGAATCCTTATCCTCTTTGGTTGTGAACCAGGCTTGACTAACAGCTGATACTTCTTCATTGCCCATTGGGGAGATTTCATCCAACTGCTCATTCTGAAGAATCTTGAAAAGATCAATATGAAATAATACAGTCAGCTATTCAGATGTTTATATCACTTTGCAATTAACATGGAGACATAGTTTGAAGGAAATTAAATCAGCACACTTCGTCACCTTGCTGACTCTTCAAAAATGTCAGGTCTTAGACATGGCATTTGAATTATCACCTTTTTTAAAACACCTGAGTAAGATTTAACATATTAATATACAAATGTTGTGAGAATTAGTTAGGTAACATTCTTCATCTTGTTTAATGTACAGTGAGTGAGAAGAGTCTCACTGGCTGTGGTGGAAACTGGACTATATACAGCATCTCCAACCTAGAACTTTTAAACATGGTATACCCACAATGAAAACTGCATGTAACTGTTAGGACTGGCGACAAGACAAAGTCTATTGAAGCCTGTTATAAAGCTTAATTTATAATCAAAGAATGACAGAAATAACAGACAAACACAAAAGAGCACATAATTACAAGTGGAGGGCTACCTCTATTACTCTTTGCAGCATTACTCTTTGGGCAGTAACTTAAGACTACAAATAACCTCTCTCATTCATAAAATTATTCAATTGTCCTTTTACAGACCAGCATTTTTACAAACAAAACCCATACTCAGATATATTTGCCTCAAAGAGTCTTATTAATTTAGTACGTATTTCTGATACTTGTTTCCCTTTTCATTTCAATTTAAATAAAAGCATACATCAAATAGGTAAATTTTGAAGTGTTACTGTACCTGAATCTGGGTAACAGTTCCTTCATTAATCTCATCTTCAGCTACCTCAGTGGTAGCAGTCATGGTCACCTCAAAGCTCTGATCATTTTCTGAAACTTCAGATGGGTAAATTAGTTGCATACTTAACTCCTGAAGCATTTTTTTACATATGCTACAAGTTTTATAAATTGAAGTGAAAATTTTGAAGAGCCTTATTTGGTATTTATTTGTTGACACAGTAAATTCACTAAAATGATTAGCAACTGCTTCTCTTCACAAAATTTAAATATGGCTTTTGAAACCTCCAGTTTTACGCTTGACTACAACTATGACCTACTGTGAAACATAAAAAAAAATGTGTTTGATGAAAAAATTTGAAACTATATTAATATTTGTTTTCCAGCCCTACCTCCAGTATTTTCCAGTTATTAGACAACATTTAAATCTTTTGGCTGCATGCATTTTCCCCAGCCCTCCTTCAACATGATAATGCCTTTACTGCTAAGAATTTCTACCTAGTTTCACCAAATAAACAGGCGCTCTAGGTACTGCAAATTGGTATTTTAACTAGTTTTGGTTTCGTGTCCCTTTGGGACAGTATATTAAACTTTCTAATACTCAATCAACTTCCAGAAGACTAATTCAGTATTCATCCTATCTTTTTTACATCACTCTCTTTTTACATATGCCTCAATATTACAAAACACTGAAATACTAAATATACTGTCTGATCATTAAAAAACCCCAAATCTCTTTGCAGGAGAGCATCTAGTTTGTTGTTGATTTACTTGTCCTTAATTTTATCGAATGCACCTGTGCCTGCAAGTCTCTAAACTACTTTAACACAGGCTTATTTCGCTAGTACTAATTGCTGCAAAACTATCCAAGGCTAAAAAGAAATATGATATCCAAGTACACTAATAAAATTTGTAAGGAAGAAAACCCATGCAGAATATTGTACAGTAATTCAAGAGTCCACTTTTAATCTTTACCAACAGATATACTTGCTACAGGAGTACATAAAAGAACTTACTTGGAACTGCAACAACAGAAATGCATGGAGTAGAATCATCAAGGCTTTGATCATCCTCTGATAAGCAAAGCCTCTTGTGTGGAGGTTCGGAGCTGTCTTCAGAGTCTACTTCATCAGCTTCTGACAACAAAAACACACCCAGGTTACTTCCTGTAAGCTAAGTGGAGCCTTGGACAGAATTGTCCTAAAAAGCAAGCCAAAGCAAATAGTAGAAGCAAATGTGACAGGCTGGTTCAGTGCTTTGCTGCTGCCCAGGAACCTGGTCTAAGCTAAGGGCAACAACATGCTTTCTTCAACATGCACTTTCTTTGAAAATTCCATCCACAGCCTGTTAAACACAAATCAGTCTACAGAAATCTGGGTACGTGCTTGGTTCTAAGAATCCGTTTCAACTGAAATAAACCATAGCAGCTCTATCTTTGTTGGGCACACACAGTTTTGGGATTTATACCTAATTCGACACTTTATCACTCTTTAAACCAAAGCAGAACAATTCCTGCACAATAAGCTGCACCTGAGTAGCTCACAGAATGTGGGCAGGGATGCATGGTGGTCAGATCAATCAAAACAAAGAAGAAAAAATACTATGTAATACAATTCTATACCATTTTGAGGGCAATGAAGAATTAGGTTCCCTTCAGTATCCTGAGTCAAAGTCACAGAGTTCACGGTTTCTACTGTCACTGTGTCAGACTCTTCTTCAACTGTGCTCATACTCAAACCTGAAAGAGCAACACACAGATTACGTTTCTGCTGCTGGAATCCACTTGGACCATAATGCTCCTTCCATGCCCCAAACAACCAGCAAAACTCCCACAGGGGATGAGCCTGCTCTTTCACATGAAGCATCCACAATTTCAGACATTCACCTACCTTTCCTGCAGACTTATATTGCACAGGGTAAAACCAGATAGCTTTCAAGTAACTTTTCCAGTTAAAAATAGTACCTAAACTCCCTATTAGGAGGATTTGCAATCTACTGATCTCTTTTTTTTCAAACACAAACCTAGGCTATTACTTTTTCAGCACTTCTAAATTATTCACATCTGATGACTTTTGTCCAGTATTTGTTTCAATGTTAATTTAGTAATTCTGCTATTACAGAACTGAAAGCTAGGCAGGACTGACAAATATTTTTCTAGTATCCTATTAATCACAGCTGCCCTATTTATAGACTACCAACTTGCAAAGTTTTATTCTCCTTCCATGAATATAGCTAAATGTGAAACTTACAGTTTTTCTTTAGCATTTTATTAACAAGAGCAACAGAAAAATTGGTTGCAAGGAATCACTAGTAAAAAAATTACTGAGAGAATAAGTAATCCAGGATAAGCCATATACATTGAAGTCACAGAATTAGGGCAATATGATGTGTCTCTGATAATTTCATTTCCATTATAAAAGTACTGCAATGAAACACAAAGTCCCTAAGAAATTCTATGTAAACTGCCAGCAGTAATTCTGAAATAAAACAAAGCAAAACCTACAACGAAAGTTTTCTCCAAGTACAAAGAGATGCAATCTTTGCTGCTGCATTAGCTAAATGAAATCACATCCAAAATATCCAGCTTTGCAAAGATTTCATCAGTTTTAAGCTTGCTTTTGTTGACTTTGGCAGAGATTTGTAAGAAGAAAATATCATCCATGTCTCCTTTAACTGCTCCAGTCCTTTTTCTGTATTTCCTTATATGTCAACAACAACAAAAAATTACTTTTAACATTTATTTTGAAGCCAAAATGTCGTTAAAAAATATCTGGCTATAGCTTAAGAAAAAAGAAATCACAAATACATTATAAATTTTCCATGTTCTAGGCAGGGATAGCCATATATCCATATGCAAGCAGAATTTGCAACGTGGATTTCAAATTCCCTGTATAATGTTAACATTATTGCATCAGCAGGAGATTATTTAATTTTTAATCAGAAAACATGTTCTTTAGTACTGAAGATTCCCAAGAGAAGCGTTATCCTGGAAAGATAAAACTACTGCCAGTCCTTCTAAAAAAACTACTTCTCACCTCTCGAGCTTGTTGAAGGTTTGGCACATCTTTAAGCACACACAGTGACTGATTCCTCAAATGAAGTGATATTACCCTTCTGAACATGTAAAAAATTTCAGATAGCACTGACATTTTAAATCAGAGGGTTCTCAAACTTACTTTCACATCTACAATCAGCAACAGATCCTTGCCACATGCAAGTGTAGGAGTAACTCCTTGGGATTCATCTGCTGCTGAGTTTTACAGCCTGTGCTCTATCCTTCACTAGAAGCTGCTGTTTGCTGCATGGCTGTAATATTCATTTTAGGAACCCAATGAGGCATCCTTAATGCTAAAACACGAAGAAAGGCATCCGAAGTGTTACAGCTAAATTAGCAGACTGTAACTTTTTCAACCCAGTTTTAAGTTATTAATTTAGTTTTTGGGGAGTGAACAAACTGGACCAAAATAAACAGATTCTCTTTTTCATGTTCATATGTACTTTCTGAGTAAGTTTAACTGCAGGGACTGTTGTAGTAAAAATCCCTGAAGTTACTGGAAATGAGGTGGAAGATTCTTCCTTAATTTTTTGTCAACTAGTTGTCACAACATTTATTTTTCTACAATCAGTTGAAAGCACCCATTTTACTTGTCACCATTTTAGAGGCCTGAAAGATATGAGATTCATAAGATACATAACAACAGTCATTTATTTCACCTACAGCTGTTCTGAATAGCACCATCCACAGCAGTAGAGCAGACCATTCCTTCTTTTATTTTTGGAAGCCAGACGAAAATTGAGTATAGGCACAGCAAAGCGGGGTCTTTCTTTCAGCAGTTACTGAGGACTTCATGAAAATCAATCTGTATATTTAGAGGATTTGGCTACCAAGTAAAAAACACAGGGCAATTAATCCTTTTACATTCTCTGCCTTGCTGGTTTGCAAGTTAGGAGGGAACAGGACACAGCATAAAAGGGATCCACACATCCAAATATGGCATTCCCAGAGATGGCGAGGAAGGGACACCACGATCAGTAGCTGCTACTCTGACTCTTCCATCCAGAGCTGTAACAGGATTTACCAGACAGTGGCTCAGCACATCTGAGAGCACCACTGACTCCTCTGATCAAGTCACAAATGTGCAGCTGTCAGCTCAGCTCCCATGAATTGCAGAGCACCAAAAACTGGGCACTGCACTTTGCTCAAGGACTGTGATTTCCCAAGAAACAGTCCTCAGTGTAATTCCTGGACTGAGGACGGGTTTATAACTCCTTACTGATTTCCCAAAAATGGCTTATGTCACCTGCAAGTGCAGGCTCTCCCCCAAAAAAATGACACTCTGTGTAAGATACTCAAGATTTAGCATACCTTAAGTTTTCTGAGTAAAGGTAATAACCTTGACCGAGCCTTGATAAAAACTTGAAAAGAGCTAAATCCTTGATTTGATTTCCATCAATTTTAATGCATATAGCCTTGGACCACAATTGAAAACTGAGTAGAGAGAACATGAGGAATGAAGTCAAAGTCAAAAGCATATTCTGGACACTATTTTTTATTCATCAGACAATACAAATACAAGAAAACTGAAAGAAAACCCAACCGACCAGGTTCTTTCAAGCTACATTCACCCCAGGGACACCAACCCATTAATACATGAATGAATCAGCAAAATCAGGAATAACTGCGGTGGTTCTTCTGAGTGAACAGGAAACAATCCCCAGATCTTACAAACCTCACTGTTTCACACATAAATAACAATGTAGCTACCAGGTACACTGAACAGGCATCAAATATGACACGTTCACAGGGAGCTCAGAGGCCAAAGCCCAGTGCTGATCCCCGAGCCAATGCCCTTTGATACCTTCTCATCGTGTTAGCTTTTGGGGATGAGACCAGTGTTGGATAGACATGCATCAAAAGTGTGGATGCCATAATCCATTATGACACAGCACCTTAGTCATCAGTGTCAATTCAATTAACATTTTTTGCCTTGCTGGATTTCTGTGTGGATTTACCAAACCCAGTATTTTTTAGGAGAGCATTACAATTTCAAACAGGTTTCAACATGCAGCCAAAGAGGTGGGAAAATACTTCTGTCTATAAGACTCATTTAATACAGATTTCTAATTTAAGTTTTCCACTAAAGCCAAATAATAGAGATGTTCTTATTTATTTGGGAAATATGCAGCAGAATTATGGCAGGAAAAAAACAACCCAAAAAGCTGATTTTCCACCAAGGTGAAAAAAAAAATTACATCCTAATACAAAATTCCTTTAATTCTAAATAACCCTCATCAAGCAAACGGGCTCAATTATTCTGTGGGCCGTAAAAATTAAGCACTTCTAAGAAATAGTATTTTTACTCTTGCAGACAGAATTCTGTCATTGCCCCTAGTTATTAACTGAACATTATGTCTAGTCTTCGGTGGACTGTTGTAAATCTTTTTAAATTTCTGTAGTAAATTGTGTTAAAGGCTGCGTTCTCTGCACTGGGCAGTAAGCATGTTTCACTAAGTTCTGTAAAAAGCAAATTTTGAAGATTATTAGGGGAGGTTTTCAGTTACTGTGGCATTTAACTGGAACAATCATATGGAATGCATTGGGATTTCGAGGCATTTGTTCAAGAGTAAGACTAAGGAAACAAAGTTATTACAGGACCTCATATTTTAGGAAGCCTGAATGTTTAGTGTATTCCACAGCAAGTCAGGACTTCCAGTACATTATCAGGAATTTTTATTATTCAACTAGTGCCAGTGCTGTTATGCTGATATTCAATGAAACTCCCCCAACTTTACTCCAGACCAAATGGGTTCTGCTCAGATTTAAAATTCCACCATGCAGAAGTTTTCTCTAACAGCTGCCAACAATGGATATGAAAAGGAACCAAGCTGGGAAGACACCAATCGTAAGGATCCAGTCCGAGTCTGGGGCATACAAGGATTTATTAATCTGTATCAGCATGAGATTACAATCCTTTAGGAACAGTTGCATCCTACTCGTCAGTGGTATTTAGAGAAGTGGGCCATCACTGAAACAGAATATATGGGAGACACAATGGGACAAAGTGTTCTCATTTGCATTGATCCAAAATTGGCAGAACTCCATAAGCTTTAGCCTGTCCATTGAAAGTTTAATAAAAAGCATGCTTTAAATGTCACAAAGGGAAAAAAAACCAACACAAAACAAAATAAAACTCCTGTTCTGCCTTTTTCAAAAAAAATATACACAGAAAGTTTCAAGTTTTCTTTTTTAGGAACTGGCTGTTGGGGACGAGATTATGGCTATGGATAGAAATCTTCCTAAGTATTGTATGTACTAAAATTCTTTCCCCTTCACATAAATCCAGTCCATGCTAAGCATTTCAGTAACTTCTTCACCTTTATAAACAATGGGAAGAATTTTAGCATGCAAGAAAACTAAGAAATATTATCCTAACTGATAAGCCTGATCAAGCAGTAAGTCTGATAAGCAAAGGTAAATCTTGCTTTCTGATGGACAGATAAGCACAGAAATGATGCTCAAAAAAAGGACCTATTAGAACATGCAAAACACAGCAGAGAGAGGTCTTTGTTTCTTACATGGCCGCTTTTTATAATTTTGTGTGGTGAAGACAAAGATCGGATTTTTTTGGGCATTCTACTTAAGTTGTAATTAACGTTCAATCTTTTCAGTAAGTCATAAAACATCATGAACTTGTTTACTACTATAATCCCGTGAAATGATATAAACGAAAACTAGAATGAGATGTGCCCATATCAATGCAGAATCTGCATCTCCTGGTTTTGCAAAGGAATTCCAACTACGCTGTCAAGAGGCCAATTTACATCTGTAGCCAAACCGGCGCTGGCAAACAAAAAGCATTTTCTAGATTACTTCAACTAACAATGGCCAGGTGGGGCGGAACATTGTAACTCTTTGTGAATGAATACATACAAATACTATCAGTCAGCTGGTACAAGAAGTAGCTGGTAGCTTGTTTTACAAGAGTAAAACACTCCACCACGCCCAAAGGCACAACCAAGAATAAAGAGACTTCAAAAGAGGGGGAAAAAAATAGGGTGGGGGAAATATAGGCTTTTCCGACCGGAATCTTTTATTTTGGGAAAACAGAGCATAGCTCTAGTGCAGAAAATCCTGGTACCGCTCCAAGATCAAACCCCTGAGCGTGGCAGAGTCGAACATTTCAGACTCCACTTGCCCTAAGCAACCTCAAATCACAACTCTCGCTGCGAAAAAAAAAAATAAATTATGAAACAAAACAGATAAAACCCACTCAGGATACCCCAAGCGCAGACCCAGCGAGAGGAAATCGAGAAATTCAAACGCGATGCTGCAGGTGGCCTCACATTACAAACATCCAGGTATTGTGGGAGAGAGTTAAAACCCGAAAAAAGAAAAAAATTTAAAATAATAAAGCATAATAAACAAACGCGCTGCCCTCCTAAGGGAGCCAGCTTTGGCGATTTCCAGGGCCGGCCCGTCCGTCCGCTTCCCAATTTCCCTGCGCGCAGCGCTCCCGACGCCCGGCAGTTCCCCGGGCAGGCGGGGAGCCGCGGCCCAGGGCTGGCCCAGGGCTCTGCCAGGAGAGCAGCCGGCAGGAGGCAGCGGCCCAGCCCCTGCCCCGGCACTGCCCCCCGGGGCGGCGGCTCCGGGCCCGCCTCAGCTCCCGCTGCCCCGCGGCCGCCAGCGC